GGTAGTAGAATTTTCGCACAATTATATGAGTAGAGTTGACGTCTCTATTTAATTTCACATAGCCTTGATTTCCAAAAAATTGTTTTCCTTCAGGGTGGACAGCAGTTTCCATCTCGCTTAGGTCGTATCAACAGCTTCAGCGGGAGTGCAGCATATGAGCTTGACACGTCAACCACATTGCCACGAGTGCCCTTGGGTCACGAAGCAGATGTGAATTTCAAGGAAGAACAGGCCTTTTCCCCATATCACATTCATTGGTGGGATTGTCGATGAAGCAAAAGTATTTTTATAGAAGTTCCTTGACCTTGTTTTTGCAACTTGGTCATAATGGTAGGAAGACTGATAGAAACGCACTTTCACTGTTCGACTCGTGCTGGGGATGTTGATAAGACCTAGGCGAGATCTAAACTGCAATCCACCCTGGATGGGAACAACTTTTTGGAAAGCAAGGCTCTGCGAAATGCAATGGAAACGTCAGCTCTACTCATATCGTTGTGGAAAAGTTCTACTACCAGTCCTTCATCACCTCAAACGAAATAGGGTGAATACATCTACTCTTTTAGCCCTGAATCGGTACATTCAGGTCTTATCATTCACGCTATTTTCCGGTAGAATTCGTCTCATGTCTCCCTGGTTCAGTGATTTCAATAAATCATTGCCAACATTTCCGTGCTACTCGAGACGTTATGCTCTGTACTCTGCTGCAAGTCTTAGTGGTACGTATTCTCCAGCCTCCCTAACCAGGCCGTCAGCCTTGATTCTCAAGCCGATTGAAAAACTAACTTGACGCCGCAGATTCTCTTTTCACTATTCGGCATGTGCACAGAGAAAATTTCGTGGTAAAGCCTTTACTTCACGCTACACTTATGTACTGTTAGCTAACTAATTCTAGTTTACCCCATATATCTCGAGCTTCTATCCATAATGCCAAATTTATGACTCTCCTATGGCGGTCACAGCAATGCTAACCTCAAAATCTTATAATTGTTCTACTCGCTTTGATTAGGACCACTGTAGATGTCTCCTCTTGATTTTGAATTCTTTATCTGTGGCCTCCTCATTACGATTTCCTTTCCTTAGGTTAAAAATATTTTATTGATCTAGTCCTCTTCTTTTCCTGATCACCTCCGAGTTAATTTAAGCAATATGAAAGCTTTTGATAAACCTGCCTTTTTCAAGTTTCCTGTTCATTCGATTTCCTTGACTCAGTATATCTCTTGAAAATTGCATTTTTTTGTTATTTCATTATATGCAGACAGCCTTTATATAGATTTCATGTCCCGTCTGTGCAATGTGTTCCACTATTTCAGATCTTTCCTTATCCATGTTTATGCTGTCTTTGATATTGTTTGATTCGTCGGCTGATTTTTCTTCCTGTCCCACCAACATCCCATAATTAGTTCAAATATTTCCTCATAGATATTGCTATAGAATGTAAAATATGTGGTTATCACTTTCAGAAATGTATTGCCTCAAATGCGGCAACTGTGAGTAAAAATATATTGATGAAACAGAAAGAAAAACTAGCCTAAAAAACAAGGAATATGAAAGACTGCAAAAACATGGATTTGAAAATATCCAAAACAGCGGAACACATTGCATCGACGGGAGAGGAAATAAACAAAGGGCAGGATGTAACGGAACGACAGGAAAAACGATAGGACTTGGATTAAGATTGCTGATTTAAACGGAAGACTCGGACCGACATTCTCAGTAATGAGGAGAGATGAATGAACGAGCGAGGTGTGCGAATAAGTCCCACGAAGTAGGCCCAAAAAGGGCACATTTGAACTACGTTTAAATAAGTAGGTGAGAAATTGTGATATTGAAGGTGGCGATACGAGGGAATATGAATGGTGAATGCGCCAGGACAAGAGAGATATCACAACCTTTCGGAGGACTGTTGGTCAAAAGATCGATTTTACTTGTCCCTTGGCCGATATGTAGTGCGTTAATAGTGCCAAGGCTCATTAACGATTCCGGCAAAACGTCTGGGAGAGCACCAAATCCAAGGTCCGGAGCTTGAAATTACAATGGATACTACGAACCCCAGACAAAGTGCCTTCGTCTAGGTATCTCTGACAATAGAACCAAGTTGCGAAAACGAGGTAAAACCACGTCTATACTACGAAAGGAGGCCGCAATCATATTAACGGCCACATCATCTTGCTCATCAACCCCTCGGCATCAACTTTTTATAAATATATTCTTGGCAAGCTATTCACAACCCACATGGACACTCATCTAATAGCCGATTGGCTTGACTTCTCTAAAAGGAAAGGAAGAAAGGATAAACGGTGGCTAAACACATGTATAAAAAAGACGTATAATGAACAGCAATAAGGGCATAGACGATAGTGTATCGTAACAGGCGTGTGCAGCTCAGCTAAGAGCCAATGAAAGACCGATAGTAATGCTTGCAAAAACAGACTATGGGCAAGAAAGCAAAATAAACGAAGATTTAAAGACTAAGATGGCGTGGCCTTTTGACCATATTTTAAAAAGCAAAATAAGGCTTAGAATAAATCTAAGTCAATCACATCATTATAAATCGCAGATATTGCCATGTCCCCTTCTGTGTAGACAACAAACTAAACGTTTTACATATTTTAAGGAGTGATTTCAACTGGCTGGCTGAACTACTTCTCGGGAAAATAAAGGAACGAGGTAATGAGATATCTGAGTAGGAAGGTAAAATAGTTGTGGGAAAGTGTTAGCTCTTAATTAGATAATGAAAAGAGCATTAAACAAAACTCCTAAGAATAGATGGATCACTGATTAGCTGCTTAAACAAGTTATTTCAGCTCTGATAAGACGCTTTCTTATACCTATTATGCAAGAGGACCCGTCTGTCCTGGGCCTAGGTTCGGGTCGAAATAGACATGCTGAAGAGCTTGTTCAGCGGAAAGGCGTTCGCTAGGGTTGCACACCACGAGTTGCTGCAGAAATCCAAAAAAAAATAAGTGCAAAAAACAGAGTAAATATTTTATGAGTAACGGAGGAACATTCGATTCCTGTTAGCTTAGTCGTTTTGATGGAATACCTAGAATATAAAAATTCAAATTAAGCAGAATATTCGAGCAGTCATCCAGGTATACACCTTATTTTAACTAAATTAATGCTTAGTCTTTGATCTAGTATGTTTATTTTGCTCGAATTGCATAAGTCTAATGGAATTGAGCAATGCAAAAGGAAAATAAGGCAAAATACAATGCGAACTTATACAGTAAAAATTTATCCAAATAGTCCGGATCATGTTATTCGTAACTTAATTAATTATGCAAGTTTTGAAAATCCATTAAGCTAAGCGAAAAACTCTCCTCTGAGCCACTCTTTCAATTTCATAATAAAACTTCTTAGACTCCGAGTGGGGTTGTTGGTGAAACCTATCCTGGAAGCGATAATAGTTTTTGGAAGGTAAGACAAGGTAAAATGGAGTGCTGTTTCGATTGATTTCTTGTTAAACTGATGCAAGTCTAAACTGAAAATCAAAAAGAATGTTAGATCTCTTCATCTAATTCCACTTCGCCTCGTCCTAAAAGGCCGCCCTCATTTAGGACGGACTGGAATTTCAACCATTCCTTGTCTAATCAACATCAGCGATGTGCGGGTTAAGAGCAAAAGAATATATCTATTAAGCAACACAACCAGTACGACCCTTAAAGCGAAGCTGTTTCTAACTACGATGAAAGGAAAAGCAATATGAAGCTTCTAAATCACTTCATTTAATAAACCAATGTTTCCACGCCACGCCATTCCAGTGTAGGCTACTTCTCGCTATTTATTATTGAATCGATGAAGAAATATTGCTCCTATAATGAAGTGAATTTCTTCGCCAGCCATCGTACTAGAAAGCAAGGATTAATCGCTTTGAAGAGCAGTGTTGAATAAACTCTTTGTCTAAGATCTTTAGTCACAAATATTGTAAGAATCCTCAAAAATGCACTTCGTAAAACTATTCGAAGGAGCTTCGACAAGGATTGGCTCCGAACCTATCAAAACCAGATTATATTCATCAAGTAGGCTGATTGATAAATCTTCGCTTTAGCTCTCGCAATAAAAATTAACCCACATTTTTTCATTGTAATTAATGCGATACGCCGATGCACCTTAGGCCTTAGAAATTATTGATACTGGCGTACC